ACAGGTCTTGCCTCACTTGCCATTTCGACTCCTTCAACCTTATCACTAGTGGCCGCAAGGCACGTTGAATCGTCATTGTTCCATGCTTGATACATCAAATGCATTTGACAAGGTGCCACACAGTATTCTCTTTGATAAGTTACAATCGGTTGGCATCCATGACCCTCTACTTCATTGGCTAAAATCATTTCTTAGTGATCGGAGCCAAATCGTCAGAGTAAATTCTATGCAGTCTACACCTAGGCTCATAACTGGTGGGGTGATACAGGGTAGTGTCCTTGGACCTTTGTTGTTCATAACTTATATTATTAGTATGTGTAAGTGCTTCACTGTAGGGGAAACATTCCTATACGCTGATGACCTTAAGGTTGTATACCCATGTTACACCCATGAACTAGGCAATACGCTATCTACTGCCCAACAAGAATTAGGTGAAGTTGCTAAATGGTGTGACGAGTCCCATCTCCAGTTCAACGTTGATAAATTTGGTTGGCTTAGCATAGGCAGCGATAACCTAGGTGTGTCTCTCGAAGCACATGATAAAAGCTACCCAGATGATCTTCGGTGCTAGATCTTGATCTTAGATATTCCAGTGACTTGACATTCCCCGAGCAGATGGCTCGTATCACATCTAGGTCACGTAGACTCCTTGGATGCATCGTCCGTAACTTTTATAGCACTGAATCAAGAGTCCTACTCTGCAAAGTGAGCATCCGTCCAATTTTAGAGTACTGCCCGTTTATCTTAAGTGGCCTTCGTATAAGCGACAAAGGAAAAATTGAAGGAGTACAGCGCCACTTTACACTAAGAACACTAGGAGCTGCCTGCGGTCTAGACTGCACCTCGAGATGCAACATTCTAGGTCTGGAACCTGAAAAGTTTATTAACTGTTTACATATTTTACTTAATTGACGATTCCAGGACTGCACAACTCATCCATGTTCGTATCATTCCTCGACAAAGATTTCTTATCTTGGTGAATATTATGAGTAAAAGCCAAGTGTCTTCACCTTTCCAAACCCAGCATCCAGAAGCAATAGAATCGTTTGAACGCGCCAGATGAGCTTCCAGAACATCTTGTCCGCCGTTTTCACGGATCGTGACAGCCTTGCAGTTGGTAAGTGTTGGACCTCGCTGGCCGCTTTAATAATGAGTTAATCCTAGATTTTGATAATTACAGAGCCGTAGTACAGTGAACATTTTTTATTTCTGCTTGTTGTAGTTAGGTATTCTGAACTTGGTAGGGCTGGTTATCCTTCATGAAGGGTAGTTTCAGCCATGATCTGTTCTTTAAGTAATTAATTCTCGATGGCAACAAGGCCACCGTTTAGGACTGAATTATTTTTCTACAACGAAGAAAAATAGACAAAGCAGCAGGCGGAGAAGGCGAGAATTTCAACAAGGAGAGTGCTTTCTATGTTCAAGTTTCTTCCTACTTAACTTCCCTTGCTACGGCTTGCATTGTATATCTTTTTTCTGTAGAGTATTCAAAAACATAAATTTCATGCTGTCGTGTGGTGTAGGATTTCTGTTTTTGATTACTGTGTTGAGTGGGGCAGAATGTGCCATTAGTTTGAGGTGGTAACTAATGGAAGTCTCCTCAACGCTTAGTATGAAAGGTCAGTGTAGGTGCGGTGGCTCTCATTTTACATTAAGAGAACCTAGTATACGAAGTGTCATGAAAGAGACTGTTGGTGTATTTGATAAGCCGTAGAAGTCACCACATGATAAGAAGTCAGACAGTAACCGACCAACTTCAGAGGTTGGTTCGGAGGCCTTCACTTCAGCTGGCTTGAGAGTTGTGAACGACAACTCATGATGCAGCTCAAAGTCTTCTTTCTGACACTGGGCCAGTTCAACGAGGTCATTGCCTTTCGGCACGGTTTATCGAAGCTTCTAGAGGTAGTGCATCAGCTACGGAGTTGTCTGCCCCAGAAATGTGGCGGATGTCTGACGTGAACTGGGAAATGTAACCCAGTTGTCGTGAATCCCGAGGGGAGTATCTAACGGACGCCGAGCTAAGAAGGAAGGGCAGCGGTTTGTGGTCTGTGAAAATAATGAGGCCACTACCTTCCGCCTAATAACGACAATGGCTTACAGAACAGTACATAGCTAGGAGTTCCCCACCAAATGTACTGTCTCTTGTTTCTGCGTCTTGCAGCCGCCTTGGGAAGAAGGCTAAAGGTTACCACTGGCAGTCGGTCAACTGCTGCGAAACTGCTCCCATTGCCGAGTCGGATGCATCAACAGCAATACCCAAAGGGGCATTGGGGTCGTAATGCATAAGCATGGTTGCGTTCGAAATGGCTTCCTTGACTTTAGAGAAAGAGAGTCTGGCCACGTTTTCCAGAGTCACATACTTCGTAGTCCGTAAAAGTAGGTCCGTGAGTGGTTTCATGACAGAGGCACAGTTGGGGATAAACCTTCGATAATAACTTACCAGGCCACTGAAAGTAAGGAGCTTCTTCACAGTGGTCGTCTCTGGATAGTTCGTGATAGCCGCCACTTTGTTTCTTAATGGGCGTATACCTCTGTTGTCAAAGGTATCCCCAAGGAGGTTGAGTGATTCAACTCCCATTCCACGTTTCTGCAAGTTGACTATGATGTCATGTTTTTCAGTCTTTCGAATACAAGGTCCAAATGTTTAAGGTTTCCTTATCTGGAACCGCAATTATACAGTCATCGATGTAGACATGAACAAAATTTAAATCATGGAAGACATCATCCATCAGGCGTTGAAATGTTTGTACCACATTCCGGGGACCAAAAGGCATCCACAGGAATTCAAGGAGGCCAAAAGCACTCATAGTGGCTGTTTTCGCTATATCTTCTGTTGCAATAGGTATCTGACCGTACGCTTTGACCAGATCGATTATAGGGAAAATGTACATTCCGCATAACGTCACAGTCAAGCGGTAAACTTCAGGTATCGGGTGGTAGTCCGGTGTTGTTTTGGAGTTAGGCCTTCGGTAATCACCATTTGGAAGCTAGCCGTTGCTACCGTTTTTGGGAACCATATGCAACGCTGGTGCCCAAGGGCTGCTTGAAGGTTTGATAATGCCCATTTCGAGCACATGGTCGAATTCGCTCTCCGCCGTTTTGAGCTCATCAGGGGGTAGACGGCGTGGCTTGAGTGCCACAAGTGAACCCTTGGCTGTCGCGTGGCGCATAAAATTGCTGGTTGTGCACAGAAGAGTGTGTTGGTTGTCGTAACATTGGATATCTCCCCGGTACTACCTGATAGGACGCGTCGCTTGGTTGTTTAGTTTCAACGATGGCTGAACTTGGACTTACGTAGGTGGTCCCGCCAATAGAAAACTTTGCGTTGTAATACATAAGCCGTCAGCGACAAGCATCTGAGAGTAGGTCTCAGTGGTTTAGCAGATCCGTGCCGAAGAGGAAAATCCAGTGAACTCGCTCACGTAAGCCTAAGTTGAGGTAGACATAGCGTCTCTCAAATGTCACGATTGTCTTGCTGTTAGCTACTTGAAGATTGAGGAATGGGTCGTGATGACGCCCTTCTGTCGGTGGGGGAAGAAAGCCAACTTCTGCGCCGGTGTCGACGGGGTAGAGAACTTTCGTTTTTATACAAGTGGCCTAGAGCAAACGGCTGTTTCCACCGGCTATGGTTGCCGTGAACACGTGCGGGCATGACAGTTCTCCGAGTTTGTGTCTTTGTTAAAACCTCATGGCTTCAGGCATTTTCTGGCTTCGTCTCGGTAAGTATTATGAGACCAGCACCATTTCGGGCTTTCCCACACTGTTAGGTTTAGGTTTTGGACGACCACGTAAGTTGCGGCGATGCACTAAGGTGCGGTTCTGTGAAGCGCTGCGTAACTTAGGGCTTCGAGATCCTAGCAACTGTTTAACAGAGTTGCACAGCTTGGTCGCCTCTGAATCCTGGTTCTGTGGTTTGCCGCAGACAGAATATACGTTGGAGACGGGTCTGCTAGAGATCTCGGGTATTTTATCTGCCGAGGCTTCCAGGTCATCCAGTAAAACTGACTGAAGTGTCACCGACACGCTTTTCACCGGTTGTGGTAGTTTTGAGGGAAATAGTTCTCGGAGAAGGCCATTGTAGAATGTTCGTGCGCCCATAACTTCTCGCATGCGTGCAAGGACTTCAGTAGCTGGGTGGCTGCCTAGCTGGATGCTACGGAGCAATTCGTCTAGGCGCTGGCGATCTGTGCGATTACTTTTCTTCAAGAGCACGGCTTCGAGAAGTGCATGAGGATCACTGACTTCAGGAAATATGTAACATGCTGTAACATGCTTGTTTAATTCTCGCGGTAGTGGACGTATGACGGCAAGAAATTGAGAATGAGGGTCCGCGACTCTCTGTTCTCGAAAATCTGCCTCGGCGTACAAAAACCATGTTTCTGCATTGTCTGGCCCTTATGGCAGGAGCTGGATAGTGTTAGTGGTCAGCTTAATATGGATAAACTTGTGAGTGTGGTCGGACATGAGAAAGAGTCGTATATGGGTATATAAATGTTATCAAAATGAAAACCATATACGTGTATAAAAGGGAAAAGACTCACCAATTTAAGAATTGTCGTGGTGCGAACTTGACAGACTCAGAGGCTAATCACTAATAATTCAAACTTGTCATAAACCCACGAATACGAGACCAAGAAAAAACACAATAGCGTAGTCGGATGGAATAGTATATTTGCAACGTCGTGCCAAGATACCGATGCGTTCCAACTAACTGGCTAGAGAGTCGATTACGAGCAGTACAACGTAACACGATAGTGTGCCAAATGGCGAGGATGCTTGACTAGGTACCTTCAGCTTAGTGAGTCCAGTTAAACTATCGAGGTCAACACCAATGCTGAATCTCGTCAAACCCTAAGCTATTGATTAGGGGAAGTGCGTGACGCCACACGGAATAAAATATCCATAGATATTATCTAGAAATAAGTTTCAATGAGCAGTAAAAAGCCACCATCGAACACCATGTTGAAGGTCGTGAATGTTGTTTTACTATATCAAAAGTAATAAAATATATTTTACATCATTCAGATAAGATTGTTAAATACGTAATGTTATTTCGTGGTAAAATGATGTGAAATCCTATTCTAGCACATATGTTCGAATAGCTCACACCTTATGATCTTTGAATGTAAAATATTTACTGCGTCATGTAAAGTTCCTTCTTTTAACATAGCAGCAACTGAATTTACTTGGATATTATCTTAACTATATTTTGCAAAAAAACGTAAATTATCGATATGGAAATTTTGGAAACAGTGTTACTAATCAACGATTATAATATGAAGAAAATAATAATGCGTCCTGAGATGGTTTCATGTTCCGGAAACGAATGAGCCATCAGTCTTCAATGGGTTTGACACGCACTATGTTTGTAATTTCGGCATTTCATAGAGTACTGTGAAGTTGCTTTCATAAGAATGTCCCTGAAAAACAATTTAACATCAAAAGCTTCTTTAGAGTATGTCGAATCCATAATTCCCAACCGTTCCGCCATTGACAGTTGGTCTGGAACATCGTTTGTTATATCTTCACTCAATGATGGGGATAAGGAACTTATCAGCTACTATATTATGGGTGTATCAATGATCGGAGTTTGTTGTTTTGGTCTTGTTGGGAACTTACTATCTCTTGCTGTGCTGACTAGACGTTCTGTTGGTGGCTCTACAACAAATACCTACCTAATTTCTTTGGCGATCGCTGATATGTTTGTGCTTATCGCAACTATACTAACTGCTGTCAAAGATTCCAGAAAACCGGTTGCGGGAAGAATGTCTTGGCTGGTATGGCAGGATGCACCTATTATTCCACGAGCCTACCCATTTTGTCACGCCACAGCAATTCTTTTTCAAGTAAGTGCGAATTTAATTGTCAGTAGTGTAGGTATTACAACTGAAAAAATACACTCGACATATTTGTGGTAGAGGATTATTATTGGATGATAGCTCCAGTACTACAATTAAATTTCGTGATTTCCGAATAATATAGGGGAATATTCGAAAAAGTTGGTTCGGTTTTAGTGTTCTACTGTTGATGTTATACACTCATAAGCAACTGTCATTTATTGTCTTAATATTCATTGGTAGACTATTTCAGGAGCCATTTTGTCAAAATTCCATGTCACTATACCGTTTGTAACTGCCGTTCTGTGCTTTTCACAAGACAAAGTACCTTAAATATTATAGCTCTCAAAGTAAGTCATCTCAAATAGCAGATGTCTACTTTTTGTATGAAAATATAACGTAGAGACGTGATTTCAAAGATCAGTTTGAGCAGGCTTAGGACTTTCAAAACTCAGAGACTTGACGACATTAACAATAGAGTATTGTTTTCTTCAAAGTAAATAATGGGATCGATAGGGTGACAAGTTCAAGAGTCTTTCTTATTTCCTTAGCACTTCTACTAAGTTCATGGGAGAAAGCGAGAAGTCCAGAGGAAAAGCTTTAAACTTTTATAATATACACCAGAAAACAACAAAGAAGACTGTTAGAACATGTTTTTTTAGGCAGTTGGCCCTTAAAATAGTGTAGGTTACGTTTAAGTACTTATGCTATACAATATATTGTACCAGTGAATAATTTAATTTATGCTTGCTGTTTAGGAAAACATAAATGATCAAATTAGACGGGTCTTTAATCTGTAATTTTCACTGAGATACTGACTGCAGTGTTTTTCCATGCTTATACTTCAATTATTTGTCTAACATTAGGATTTTGTATGAGTATGAGAAAAATGTTTCTTTATTCGCAGGGTTATATAGATCAGGGAGGTTGTGAAGTTTTTAACAGGTAATCTATTTAACGGTATTGTGCTTATGGACGAGGACGTCAAAGTCAGGATCGGAAAAGCAAGACAGGCTTTCTTTAGCCTGAAACGAGTGTGGAGATCTGCACTCAGCATAAAGAACAAGATCCGGATTTTCATCACCAACTTCAAGTTAGTTTTTCTGTATAGTTCAGAGACTTGGCGCGTTACGAAAGGCATTTTAAACAAACTACAGATATTCTTCAACAACTGCCTACGCTCGATACTGAAGGTCAGTTTGTACGAGGAGGAAATGAGAGCTTGTTGGCTGTCGTGGAGCCAGGTCAAAAAGATTTCAGAGAACGGAGTGCAATGGAGATGTGCTACCAAAGCCCTCTGTCTCATGAAAAACCCAAGCGACAAATTAAAAAATGCTTTTGGTATCTTAAATATACTCTGTGCTTCACTGGCGACTAGGAGATATGTGTAAAATCAACCCGAAATTACTGTGTACCAGGATAAGCATACACAATATATCATCTTATTGAGATGGAAGTGTTGTCAGCAGTTGTAAAATATTACAAATAGGGTAAATGGAATAAAGAGTGATAAATATACTGTGGTGGTGAAACAGATAAAACGTGAATGCGTCCATTTCGAGGATGTCAGTCTGAAGTAGTATGACTCAAAATGTCCAACTAATAAGTCCGGTTGTGTGATAAATTTGAGTTTACTTACATAATGTAGACCAGTAATAACAGACTCTGAGGTCATCCTTTGCCAAATATTATATGGTCGTGGTGAAAGCTTCACTGCTGTTTCATGACCCTTTTCCAAGCCTGATGCCGCTTTATTCGTCTCAGAGATTGATATACTTCAACTTCTAAAGACATGAAGTTCTTAACTAAGGTCATTCCTCTAAGTCGTTATATTTTTGCACTCTTCCTTTTATTTTCAAGAGTTTAGAAAATACTTTCAAGTGCAGTACATTTACAAGTTTTGTTACTGGGTCCTTTGATAATTTCATTCCATTAATTAAGAAAATTTATTTGTTTAGACTTTTGCTTGCATAAACGAACCATTATGTACGAATAAATAAAATCATGAAAAACATTTGAACTCATGTCTAAAAATGGATCCCTTGAAATTTTTTTATGTTTCGAAAGCGTATATCAGAAAAATATGTCATTTCATTTGTTGGCTATTTCCGATTTTGATAGAAAGTAATCATAGCTCAGTGTCATAAATGACTGTTGACTTTCTCTTATCTTGCAGTTTCTTTTGAGAGAAGATTAAGCATTTGAAGTGTTAACTGTCTCATTGAATTAAAGTAAAACGACCAGCACTTTATTGTTTCGTTTAACAAAGCACCACTTTTAATAAGGTATACTAGTTACTCAGGAAAGAAACTTTTCAGTCTACAAGTAGCATTAACAAAATGGGCTTCAAGTCATCACTGGTGTACTTATTCCTTATTAATTTCTGCTTTAGGGTTTTTGCACTTTGCAAAAGAAAAGACATCGTCATGTCACTTAAGCTCAAGCCTAACCGCTTACTTTGGAAATGGCACTCTGATTCATCGTTCACGCATGTTTCCGTTGGGATATACTTTGACAGTAAAATTTCTGCTCCGAATTCGTGTGTCATATTGATGAACTTCTTACTAATTGCATGTGATCAGCCATTCCAGTTGAAATACTTCTTTATAGCAAACTGTGGTGTCTGCAGCTTGAGCGTAGGGCACTTTATGTAATACTGGACAGGTTCTTCAATTAGAAGTGCTGACAGCCTTGCACCATTTTATATTTTGAGAAGAACTCAGATCAAAAGCGTGGCATTTTGTTTTGTACACAGTAGAATATAATAAGTTATATATTTGGTTCGAGTTTCACCTCAAACTACTGATTGTTGAATTCATTTACCATGAATTGAAAAAATTTATTGGTTCGACCTTCAAGTCATCGGTTACTAGGTTTAGTTTGCTTTATGACAAAGAAAACACGCATTATTCTCAAAATAAGGAGCGAGTCTTGTCAAGGCTTTCCGTTGTAAGCCTCTGGTCTATGGCAATATATGATGGGAAAGATTTTATAAGGAATAACGAAATAATGTTCCGGCTAGGATGCCTTAATTTTGTTAATTGCGACGTTTATATTTACCAGTTAAAAAAGTAATTTACAGCGAGGTGGGTGATAGGACCGTCTGATCTTTCTGTCGACTGAATGGCGTGCCATAACTTGGTAAGTAAAATAGTGCAATCCAAAATGAAAGTTTTCGTTTTCATAACCTGCAAAATCAACCTAAATAAGAGTGGTTTTTGTCATTTGCTAAGAGAAATACGTTTTTCAGATACATTGTTCCTGCTTCATACGAATTGCAGCAGTGGTTCTGTCACGTAATCAATACTTCACAAACTTTAGGTCATTAGAATTAGGGCTGAAATGGAGTTGTTCGCAGCAGTTTTTGCATATTTTACAACACTAAGCCTTGTGTAATAAGACAATATGGAGACAGTCCTTTGAAAACACAGAAAATATTTTCGATTTCAAGTATTGCTTTGGTTGAAAATTCAGCGCAAATTCTGTTGTGTAATAATTTAAGGATGATAAAATTAAACATTTAACATTACCTATTCAATTCATTATTTGGGAGTGGAATATAATTTTTGACACAGTTAAGAGAGTTCATAGATTTTATTCGCCACATTTAATCTTTTTGCGGCTAAGATACCAAAGACTGATGGCTCTTGTGTTTTGAGTTTGTGAACAGGTTCAGGCTTCTTTAGTTTCGTCATAACTTGTTAATACTAAGACAAAAAGTAAGCAGGATAAAAAGACAAGAACACAGATTTGTATTCTTCCAGTGAAGGAAAATTTAAACAAATTAACATAGTCAAAATTACTCATATGTTATGGGAGACATAAGACGGAAATGAGGCCTGAATTGAGATGAAGGAGCTTTACTTGTGAACCAATATATGGATGTGATAATCAGACTACAAATGTTTAAGTGTTCAATGGTCTGTCGAATTAGCGCATACATTTTACTGGTGCAGACCGTCCGATAGTTGCTTTTCTGGTGGATTATTTGTGTGGCACATACTTTTAGTTCGTTGAAATGAGTTTTTGACCGTAAATATAAATATCTATTTAATTTAACGGAGTAAACTTTACTGTGACTGGTAATAACTTTAAGTTTTAGGAACTGTTGCGGTAGCAAGAAATATCTCAAAGACTAGCAGATACTCATAATTAATAAAAGTGATCACTAGACATTTCAGTATATATGTATGTAAACAGCATTCTTAGGAGCGACTCGTGATAATTTAGCATAATATTTTCATCTGCAGTCAAACTAAGTATTTATTCAACAAGTTGTGACTACCGAATGAATTTTAAATAGACGAATTATTTGTCAATGAAATAAATCTAGTTTTATTAGGCTCAATATTACAGAGGGCAAAAGTTTCAGGTGTTGAAATGGCTAATGTCAGAGGATTTCGAAGTAGAAGCTAAAAAACAGATTATACGGGGGATAAAAGCACAAAGTTTCTGGTGACAGCTGGATCACTGGATAAAAGTCTACTACAAATCGCTGAATATGGACAAACCACCGACCCTAATTATACGAAATGCTTTTGGACATCAAAATGAGACTTTATACTCAGCGTGAGCGTATCGTGTTATATTTCGATTCCATAAGAACTCTAAAATTGTATAGAAGTGTGCATTGCGCAAGTCTGATGAGCAAGTATTTTGGTTTGAAAAAAGATGTGTCGCAGATTACATAACTCTCCCAACAAACCGTTCATGCATCAATTATCTAACATGAGTTAATATATTGAAGGTAATTCAGTTAAGTCAACTTTAAACAACAAATCAATTAGTATGAACTTGAGATCTATTATTACTGTACGGTGTTCAAAGTTGCCATATCTAATATCAATGAATCAATATACAAGATTCAAAGACAAAAAGGGAAATGTAAGTAGAAGTAATGTGAGTGAAAACAATAAGAGGTTATATTTAGAAAGAAAGATGGGGTTAAGTAAATGACGTATTGTCACATGATGGTCAAGGTGAAGATAAAATGAAGATATCTGCTATTG